CCGAAAGTTGCATTGCAACTTATGCGGCCACCTGTTTCAGGGGGGGTCGTCGAAGGCCGCGCGTCATTTCACGCAGTCGAAGTTCTGCAAGGCTGGGGGGATGAGAGTTCTTGCGGAACTTTGGAACGACACGGACTACACATTTGTGTCGTCCACTGCTCAGCGGGTGCAGAGGTGGATGGCAGACGAGGGCATACGGGACACGAGAGCGCCCGCTGGTGGCTTGAGACAACGGATGGAGGACGCAGAGAGGGACGACATTCAGGACGCCCTCGATGAGGAGGAGGGCCGCGAGGGTGGGGCCAGGGAGGGGGGGGTGGCAGATGAGGCAGACGAGGCAGTCAGAGAGCCTGATCTGCCAGGGGAGGAGGTGGCGATGACGTCGAGAGGCGTTGGTGGAGCGGGTCCCCCTCCTAGGGCGCCGCGACCTGAGTTGGACCGCGGGAGGAGGGAGAAGAGGACAGTGAGGCAGGCTGGCGTCGAGGTGTCAGACACGGGCAGGGAGAAGAGGGCTCGGCAGACCACGATTGACGAGATGTACGCCAGGGAGAAGTTGGTCGAGTTCACATACGCGTGGCTTCAGTGGATCTACGTGAAGAAGTTGCCATTCAACACCTTCCGTGGTCCGAAGTTCCAGAGGGTGCGGCAGGCAGCAGAGAGAGTGCCTCGCTTTATCCAGTTCCGGTTTCCCTCCGACAAGGTTACAGCGGGCGCCGGTATCCCTTCGCAGAGGGCGAAGGTGGCGACGATGATGAGCGAGGTGCGCGCCACTTTCCAAAACAGCGGTGCCACTATCCTTTCTGACGGGAGGAAGTCGCGCAGCGGCAAGCCGCTCGTGAACTTCCTCGTCGGGGGCGCCAATGGCGCCCTGCTGTCCGCCACCGTCGCACGTGACGGGTCGGTCCGAGACACAGCGGACGTCGTGTACCGTAGGTGGCGGGTCATCATCTTGTCCTTTCCTGCAAAGGACGTGATCGGCTTCTACACAGACTCCGTCAGTAATTATACGGCGGCAGCGCGCAGGTTTGCCGCAGAACCCGAGCCTGACATCAGGAGGATCACTTGGCTCCCCTGCTCCACCCATGTCTGCAACTTGATGTTGTCAGATATCGGGACGCGAGTGGTGTGGGTCAAGGAGACCATCATCCGCGCTCGAACGCTTGTGCGATTTATTAAATCGCACGGCGCTGCTCACACCCTGTTTAGGAAGGTGGGCCCTCACGTTCAGCTCGTCGAGCCCATTGAGACACGGTTTGCATCGATTTTCCTGATGCTGACGTGTCTCAAAGGCCGACGAGACACGTTGGAGAGCATGTTGCACGGGGATGCTTGGGCACGCATCCCGTGGGATCGCGCCCACGTATCTCAGGCGCAGTGGGTGCAGCAGCAGATCCGGGACGGGGAGTTTTGGCAGCGTGTCCAGTACGCCATCCTAGTCATGTCGCCCGTCCACCWGCTGTTGCGCAGRATGGATAGAGGTGGGATGATGATGTCCGTYRTTTACGAGTGGAGTCAGCRTCTSCTGCASTTGATGAGGAGGGTGGACGTGYCGGAGGACATGATCGAGYCGTGCGTGCGTGAGGTTGCMATCCRCARCCTCCACATGCTAGAGCCCGCACATGCCGCGGCCCACCTCCTCAACCCTCGTCGACGGTCCCTCACGTATTACCATTCGCTGCAGACGACCGCCGACGACCGCCGTGTGGTCGAGGAGTGCAACAAATTTCTCCTAGCGCAGACCGGCGGCGATCCGGTCGGCTTATTGTACAGGAGCGTGAGGGACCAGATGAGGGTGTTCCACTCGAGGCGAGGGGATTGGGGAGATCGTGACCTCTCCGATGCCGAGGCGGCCGATTGCAGGGAGGACAGCGAGACCGAGCGATGTGCAGCATGGTGGTTTGAGCAGGGACGTGCCCACCCGGAGTTGCGCACCATCGCCATCCGTGTCATGCACTTGTGGACGTCTGCCTCTCCAGCGGAGAGGAACTGGGCGGAGCACGAGCGCGTCAGCACGGCGAGGCGCTGCACGCTTGGGTTCGCCAAGCTTGCACAGCTGGTTGAGATTGCCACCAATCTCAAACTGGCCTCGTGCGCATGTCAAGGTGGTGGCTATGTGTTGCCATGGGTTATGGGGACCGGTCGGGGGGGGACGGCGGCAGAGGAGGAGGATGAGGAGGGAGATGTGGAGCCCGAGGTGTGGGGAGCGCGACCTGATGGCAGTGTTCTCGAGCAGGAGATCCACCGGCAGATTGTCGCTTTCCGTGACAGCCGACCGTCCAGAGCCCGTTCGGTTCGGGACGTGTTCGGCAGCAGAGCGACAGAGCTGCGACCGTAGCCGGAGGGTGGGGATGATGTGGACGCTGCTGCGGCAGACGACGACATCAACGATAACTGGACTGACGATGATGACACGCCGCTAAGTCGCGACCCGACGGCTGAGCGAGTGTACTTCACTTACGGTGGGGGTCGTGACGGCATGGATTCATTCACATCAGTTATCACTGGTGATGTGTCGTCGACCGCGCACGCGAGTGGCAGCAGCAGAGCCGGCGATCGTCGTGGAGGACGTTCGCATGCGGAGGTTCGCGTGGACGACTCGGGGGAGCAGCAGCCATGGGGAGGTCTTCAGCAGACAGGCAGCCGTTGGGAGGTTAGGAGCGACAGCGAGGTCGAGGGGGAGGTCGAGGATGAGGAGGTGCCCCTTCGCGATCGTGGCTTCTCTCCCTCCCATCATCCGATCTCTGCAAAGCCCGAGGCACTTAGGCGTTCGGAAAGGTTGGCGTCGGCAGCAGGCAGAGACCGGACACATGACGGCGAGGATCGTGGGGGGGAGAGGACTCCTTCCGACGCCGGTATCCGCCCCCGCTAGCCGTCGGTGCTCCGCACACAGGACTTCGACGTCGTAGGGCTTGGTGGGAGCTTGGGAGATTTCAGTGTCGAGGGACGTCGACGTACCTCACAGAAGGAGGAGCGCACAGACGCGAACGTTGAGCGGGGCCGTGTTGAGACTGAGGAGGAGAGGGATGCCCGTTTGGACCGAGAGGAGGAGGAGCGGCTGAGGAGTTTGCCACAGTGGGAGGTTCGGTTCGCGTATTACTACGAGCAGCGTCGGCGGAGGGACTTGGAGACAGGAGGGGGGGGGAGTCGTGACGTCGACGACTCTGGTGTCCCTGAGGAGGCAGTTTAGGGGGAGTTCGATTATGAGGGGCAGGATGCCGCCACGGGTGGTGGGTCAGGTGGTGGACGACGCGGCGACGAGGAGACCGCGGGTGTCCCTGAGGGGCAGGATGTTGTCATGGGCGGTGGGTCCCCTAGTGGGGGCCGTGGCGATAGCGAGACCGCGGGTGATGAGGGACAGGGTGCCGCAGTGTGCGGCAGAGGAGAGGGTGGACCCGGTGGAGATGGGGATACCGCGGGTGTCGGTAGAGACAATGGACCGGACAGCGATGATGATGACGACCACGGTCCCGAGGACAATGCGTATAGGCTCGCCTTGGTGTTGAGGGACCCCACAGTGCCTCCCTTGCGCCCTGACGACACAGCGCACACTTTCTTCGATGCCGACGCTTTGGCGCATGCATTGACGGATAACCCTTTCGCACATGTGAGCCCCAAGAGCGGCAAGCAGCGGGCCCCTGGGAGGGTATATTCACCGCCGCCGTTCACAGTGCAGAGCTCTCACTGGTCGGGTTCGTCGCTCAGCGGCGTTTAGAGGGAGGGAGTCCGGTGCGGGTGAGGTGGGGTCCGGGAGACGTAGCGACGGCGGCAGAGATAGTGCAGGATCGATGCCTCCACCGCCCGCACGGACTCCAGAGGCCAGGGTCGACACCGGGGACCGGACGGTGGCACCCGAAGTTGCGCACAGTGGCGGTTCCCCGCCGCCAGTCCAAGGAGGTGTGGGTGGCGGATGGTCAGCTGTTCGTCGGGTCGGGGACCGGTTGCGGGCGGACTACGACGCTGGGAGGGGCGTCTTCATGGGACGTACGCCTGTTCAGACGCAGGCTGCGGAGGGTGGGTCCGGACGTCCGAGCCTGCAGATGGCAGGCCGCATGCTTGGTTTGTCACGAGCGGAGACGAGGAGATCATTGGTCCTAAAGGCCGCAGGGACATCCACGGACATGCTGCGGGGAGAGCAGTTCACATCGGGCGATGAGGGGTTGTTGATGCGTCCCGGGACGAGACGACAGCATGGCCTCTCGGAGGTTGAGGCTCGACTCGCTGCAGGGGTCGCCGCTGGGCAGGCAGCATTGGACGCGATTCAGAGGGAGAGAGAGAGGGGGATTGCTGCACAGGCGGAGGAGGACGAGGACGCAGACACTGAGTCAGAGCCGATCGAGACTGCGGCCCGCAGACACAGGGCACAGGTGGCCACGGCGGCCGCTGTAGCACATGCGGCATACGTCAGCGGGGCACGGGGCACAGGTGCCGGAGGAAGAGGAGGGCGTCGGGGAGGACCACATGGTCGTCCATCCTCCGGGAGAGGCCGCACGCGCTCTGGTGGGAGATGACGACGTCCGTGGTGGTTTTTTTTTTGTTTCATTACTTTTTTTTTGTTTTTCTCGTGGCTGTACGGCCTGGACGCTCTGTCGGCAGGGTTGTTGCATATTTATGTCGATGTTGTTCCATAGAGACGACGACAGACTCGACAGTATGTGGACATTAGGGTTTTCTTTTTTTTTGGGCTACTTGGTTGTGCAGTAGAGACGACGCCCGTCGACGGGTCCAGTTTTTTTTTTGCTACTCTGTTGTGTAGCAGAGACGATGGGTCCAATTTTTTTTTGCTACTCGGTTGTACAGTAGAGACTACGGGTCGAGTTTTTGTCTTCAGTCTTGTACATACGCATTTCCATTGAAATGCTTTGTCATATATTTGCTCTTGTTCTTGTTCCTCCACCAACATTGGTCTTGCATCTGAGTCGCTGTTGTTTGGTGATTGTTTTCTGCTCTGTTGTCGTGATTGTTGCAAATTATGTGTTTCTCCGATGCCACGCACCTGCATGTCATGGATGCCTCCATTTGAATGTGTTGTTAATTTCAGATGAGACATAGGGATGATGTGCTAATGAATGTGTTCTTACATAAATGATGTGGTAATGAATGTCCATCAGTCTCACGAGTGAACACACACTATGACACACTTGCCTGTTATCATTGTTTGAAACTTGTGGTTCGCCGCACTGTGATTGATATTCAATGTGTTTTGACATTGGTATGCCAAACAAGGTTTGACTTGTGATTGCCATTTATGTGTTGTTTTAAAATATGCCACGAACTGTCATCGCCCTCATGAATGAAACCGACGCCTACCTTTAAGTGCGTGAGGCCCTGATCCGCCTGGGGTCTGCCATCTGCAGCCCCGTCTAGCTTCGACCCGGCCTGACCGCACGGCCCGCCCCAACCAGGCCCTCATCCAACCCACGTTGGGCCGCCCCCGCATTGCCCGCAGGGGTCAATTTTTTTTATTTTTTTTTTTCCCACTGTTCCAGACCCTCCTCCCTGCGACCCTGCATCGACGAACCTGCACACGGGGGACGCTGGATTTTTCGCGGCCCACCCTTCCAGGGTCTTGTGTAGGACCCCCCCGTTTTTTTTTTTTTTGACGGCCTATCACTTTGAGGGGGTGCCCCCCCACCCCCCCACCCCAAACCTGCTCCCCGCTTCGAAAACCGCCCCCCAGATCGGCCGACACCGAGGCCGAAAAAACTCGGCTGGGCTGGCCTCGGTTGGGGGGGTCATGGCCTAGGCCGGCGGCCGCGGCCTAGGCCGAAACCGGTCGCGGCCAGCGTGCAACATAGCTCCCGTTTCCCTACATCGGCCCCGCGCAGAAAGTGGCGCGATTGAAGAAGATAGTTCGTCACAAGGCTTTTACCAGCCCCTCATCACGATGATGCAGGGTGATCAGGCATTGCCAATGGGGGAAACCCGCGATGCTAGTGCCGAGCATCTTTGGCCAGTCACTCGCACCTTCCCCTACCCTCCTCCAACCCCACATTAGCGGTGTCTAATGGCCAATATCATTGCTGCATAGCAACCAACAATATTGGCCAAGGGACTACCAATGCTGGCTTGGAGGGCCAACGGGTTATCTCTAGCTAGTAGAACACCAAGCTTGCCCAGGCACGTACGTCAGGCCAATGGCCTGAATGCAACTTTTGTGCCTTACCAACTGAGCTCACATCATGTCGTGGAACATATCGTTTTTCTTTCACGACCTACCACTACTCCTAAGGCTATACAGGGCACCCCTGCAAGCATAGTTTTCTACCTCTCTTCGGTGAGGAGAGGTAACGGCATGTTTGAGGCGTGCTGAGTGAGGTAAGGTGTACTTAGCCAATGAGAATGGCAATTTAAGAACCAATGGTCGTAGCAATTCTTTTTTTTTTTTTTTTTTTTTGCAAGAGCAAAATTTTATTATGAGTACAACTATTACAAAGAGGGACTAGCAGGAAGTAGCAATGGTAGTAGTGTATCCAGCCTAGCTCAGCTAGTAACGCGCGCAAGTGGCATTCAGGAGGTTTTGGGTTCAATCCTCATTGGCTCCATGCACCTTCCTGGGCAAGCTTGGTGCTCGCCACCCAGAGATAGGCAGTTCATCCCCCAGAGTAGCATTGAGCAGAGACTGCTGATGTTCGTAGGGGGAGGGCGTGACGTTCAACCTCACGCCTTGTGCCGTCTTCCGGTCAGAGTGGTAAATTATGCGGAATAGGCCCTGAAAGACAACAAGACGGGGTGTGCCAAAATTTTTTGGAGAATTGAGTATGGGGACTTACTTGGAACTGAAGTCCCCCTCGTGGTTCCGGTTTTAGCGAGAACGGGTCATCAACGCGTGGGAGGAAGGAAAGTGCGCGCAATTTTTAAACATCCATTCAATCCAAAAAGTATCGTTGAACCTCCACGCGGGTTACTGGTTGTCTTTTAGAGTGAACGGGCGAAGGTACGCACATGAGATCTCGTTTTCAAGTCAGATCCCGACGTCGCTTATCAGAAAGCTTGGAATCCGACGTGGAGGGTCGCAGCCTGGTCGCTCGTTCCTTGTGTTTGTCTTCTCCGCGTGTTCAGTAGTGGAACCCCCTTTTTAGATAACACTCTGTGGAGCGACACTCGCTGCACAAGGTATTAGGACAACGCGGTGCCATTGTCGTCCATGGGATGACAATCAACTAGGTAAAAGGCAACCACAACGAGTACGGGGGAACGTGAGTATCGATAATGACAAACCAGCGCATACGAATCCGTAGCACCTTGTTTCTGGTGGAAAATAATATAGTCCACCAATCTTGGCGACGGCTTCCCGTATGTCCCACTCACACACACGAGTCCTTTCCTCGTTGTAGGGGAATGGTTGTGATAGGGGTGCGGGAAGTCGGCACCCTGTCGGATCAGAATAACGGTCCACATGACATGAGCGAATTCAATGTACGTGAGTCTACCCTATCGACTACTTAATCATAAAGACAATCAGTTTTATAACGATTATTGCAATTCATTCATCTGGCGAGCCAATCAATAGGAGGAAAGGTATAAGTTTGGTTCAGTGGTATCAATAATTGTCATCCATTAAAGCAACGATGAGCATACATATCCATAGCCACAGCTAATCCGATCGATACAAATATTACACACCAGATCCCGCATACAGGATTCTTCAAATGTTATAGAAACACATCAACAATAACAGAAGGAAATGGATTAAGATCTTCCAGTTCCCTTTGAGTTCAACGATACTCGTGGATGCGAGGTCCAGTTGAATTCAACAGGGGTGGACAAGATTAGGAAAATCCCGAGTTATTCCGACATTCATCAAACAGCCATGAACATGAGAGAAAAAAAAGAGATAGAGATCGAAGCACGAAAAAATCAAGGAAGAGAACTGCAGAGGAAGAAGGAGAAATTCGACCACACAGGCAATCTCTGAGGGAGAACACTCGGATATTTACCATAGACTTAACTTTTTGTGAACCAACAGAAGAAAAATCCAAAAAAAATCAAGGCGCCCGGGCCTCTGCTATCTGATCATGGCCCCTGGCCATACAACTATTCTTATTCACACACTCCTCTCACTCAATCACCGACGACCCCAGGTCGCCACGCACCGACCTCCAAACCACAACGATCGTCACCCCGCCAACTCACCAAATACACCAGCTTGCCCAGATCCCGCATTTCATCGTGGTCACCCGACGCACAACCATGCATTTGTTGCACTCATATCGTCAGGACTTTCCGACTCGCTACTTGCACGTCGTCTAGCCACAACTTCCCTGAAGATGACAAATGGGTTGAGAGAGAGATTTTCGGGTGCACTTACGAGTTTTGTAGTTGAGAGGAGGGGAATAGAAGATGGGGAAGAGTGGGGTGGAGGTAGTAAGAGGTGAAGAGGGAGTTTGGGATAGTCGCCCACGAAAGACCATACCGATCCCCGCAGGTTTCTTCGCAGCCAATCAGATTACTTCATGCGAGAGGTATTCTCCTTACACGACGTCGCCTGATGACTTCAAATACTTTGAACTTGAAAGGGGATCGGTAGGGGGTTCCGGTATGAGGATGTAGGCTAGCAAAAGAAGAGCGCGAAAAGTAGCGCAGAGCGGGTCCAAGATTCAGACGAGAAGGAGTGGGGATGAAGCACGAGAGAGAGAGGGGATGGAAAACAGTTGCGGATGAAAGGGAGAAGGCGATAAAAGGAGGAAAGTGAAGATGGCATGGGTTATAGCGAGAGGCGGGGGAAACTAGCATACACAGTGCTAGTGCAGAAAAAAATAAACGACACAAAAACCTTTTACATTTCATCCTAAAGCTACTTCAAGAATATGAAACTAAACGCAATACAAGCGTGCGGGCTTGAGCGCAGAAAAATCTACGTCTATCTAGTTGTGTACTGAATTTTCGCAGATCTTTCAAGGGCAGATGCGAAAAGATCCCTATGCAAGAAATAACACATCAACGGAAAAAGTGCCTGTAAATTTCCGAATTTCCAACCGCCGATCAAAATTCCTAATGCGCTCGCGCACACAATTCATGCGTAAATGCATAAATTCCTTAAATGAAATTGCAACAAAAGGAAATGTCGTCTTGGACGCGAGAGGTTCTAACTATCCAGCGATTATATGGACCAGGAAGATAGTAAACGAAAGACTCTCCAAAGAGAGTCGACGAGTCAGATTAACAAAATTAGAGGGTTTCGGAAGATGGTGAAGGTATGGAAGTTGGTACGTCACAAGGGGACCAGAGGGGAGGCATACCGACTGGCCCATTGAAGAACCTTGGTCATGATGCCACCAACTGACCCCTGGCTGGTATCGCGCACCTACTGAAGCAGGTATCGCACCTGTTGATGGGTGCAACTTCCACATGTTCCCTGGTTGAACACTAGTGTGGCTGCTACGGGGTTCCCCGTAATACTATAATGATAATAAAAAAAGACCTGGAAGGCCGTCCTGTGTAGATTTGCAGGTAATGGAATAGGTTGGGCTTAAAAGAATTAGCCTTTAAAAACTAAAAACAATGGTCATCGCTCGTCGTTTCACCAATGAACTACATCAACGAGGACGGCGAGTTGACATCCATAACTTTTTTTTTTTTTTTTTGAAAACTACACCATATTTTTTTTTCAAATGTTTTCACCTTTCACTCACTACCTCTTGGTGAAACCACCAGTACATGGTGCCTTGCTCCACTACTGTCCACATGGACAAAAGAAAAAAAATATATGGTGGTGTATCTTTCCATTTATTTTTATTTTTTTAACATAAAACAGGTCCTTATGGCCCTGGTTCCATTTCCATTATGAGGAGCGTCATTCCGGTTCCTATTCCACCATCTTTCCAAAGTTCCGTTCTCATTTTCCACATTTGGCGTGTAGTGGAGAAAGTCTCATGGGTCATGAAGCCAGCCAAGTTGAGAATCACATTGAGCCTCTCCTAAAACTTCGAGCACGGTAGATAAAATAAACCAGTGGAAGGCGGCCTTAGTAAGGGGACCGTTGTCGAGTGCATCGGCTCGTGCCTTTCCACGAAGGCGAGAGCCCTCCCGACCATGTCACCCAGGAGTTAATGAAACTAAACAGGATACAACTTTAAAACGACGCTAAATAAGTCCGCGAACCGTCAATACGA